CTACCACGGATTTTTGTCATCCAAGTACGCAGAAGTTGTATAATAACCTTTAGTATAAAGTTTTTGTTTCACTATAGTTTTAAACCTCGTGAAAGGCAAATTTTGTATATCAACCGGAATCTTGTTATAGAAGCGTATACATTGCCCCTTAAATGATTTTTGACTTTGTGAAGACGACTATCAAGAAAAGCTAGTTTATTTCTATTCCTCGTATTAATGTTATGTCTGTCACTATTTTTCATAAAGAAATTATTATTCCTTTTAACATAAATTACATTTTCATAAATGTACTGTGAGGCTAGTGTAAGAATGTTCATTTCAATAAACTTATCTCTCAAAGATACTTTGGGGCCCAGATTGTAAATGGCCCTAACTGCACGTTTCTGCAAGAGAAAGATTATATTGATATCGGCGGCATTATCCCAAAGCAAAATGCCGTATGTCATTAGACTGTGAAAGTAGCTGAAGTAAACCAATCTAGCGGTTTCGACGTCTGAAAGTTTCCTTATTTTTTTAATCGCATACACTGCAGAGCCGAGCCGTTTTGATAACTTACTTATATGGGGACCGCATTGCAATTTAGCATCTAACGTTATACCTAGAAATACAAATGTATCCACAAGATTCAATTTTTCATTTCTAACTACAATGTTTGTAACCGTCTCTCTAACATTGGGTAATGTAAATTTTACACAATTTGTATTTTTTTCATTAAGAAGTAGGTTATTAACAGCAAACCAATTAACTACTTTAGATATAGCATTGTTCACATCGTCGTAGGAACATTGGTGCCTTTTAACTTTAAATAATAAGGAAGTATCATCAGCAAACAATACTATCTCATGTTTTATACCCTCCATAAGGCTAGGTAAGTCATTAATATAAACTAAAAACAAAAATGGGCCTAGAATTGAACCTTGAGGGACACCCATGCTAATTGCAGATCCTGATGATCTCGTACCGTTAACATCGACCCTCTGTACCCTACCACGCAAATACGATTTAAGAAGGTCGAGATCACGTCCCGCCACACAATAATGGCGAAGTTTCCTGACCAGTGTATCATGGTGCACACAATCAAAAGCTTTGGAAAGGTCACAGAATACACTAATAGCATCATGTGAGACTTCCCATGCATCAAATATATGATTAATCAACTCGACACCAGTGTCGGTTGTAGAGCCACCCCGAGTGAAACCAAATTGTTTATGAGACATTAAGTTATTACTATAAAAATGTGCACACATCTGATATAGAATAATTTTTTCAAATATGTTACTGAGAGTTGGTAGTATTGATATAGGTCTGAAATTGGTGGGGTCAGAAATACTACCAGATTTGAAACAGATTTGAAAAGTGGAATAACTTTACTTTGCTTCATGAGGTCAGAAAAGACACCATCATCAACACATTTATTAAAGACACAGGCTAAGTAAGGCGCAATACAATCAACTATAGAACTAATTACTCTGACTGAAAGACCATCAAGATCAGCAGTATTTTTTATGTTTATAGACTTAAAGGCTTTAACAATATCGTTTGGAAATACATGACGGAACCTTAAAATAGTGATACTAACTGCATTATTTTCTTTTAGTAAGGATTCAGCGGCGGTGGGAGATGAATTTAACGACTTAGTAGTCAAAATTGGAATGTCATTAAAAAAAATTTCAAATATTTTAGCAACTTCTGCGAGATAATTTTGTCAAACTAACTACTACTAAAACTTCATCTAATATTTTTTCAAATAGTTCGTAAGATGAATGAAGGGGTCTGTACACGCTTAATATAACAAGCTGTTCAAGCTCTATGCAGGACATCTCTATAGTCCGCTCAATAGATAGGCTCACAATATCTGTACGTTCTTTAAATTTTAAATTATTTTTAATAAGAAATAAAGAGCCGCCATGAATAGCTTTTTCTCTGCTGAACGAACTAGCCACCTGGTGATTGTTGAAGCTAAACATGAACTGATGTTTTGATAGAAAGTGGTGTTCAGTAATACAAAGAATATCAATATTATTACAGTTAATAAATAATTCTATTAAATTTCTAACTCTTTGCCTTTCATGCCTTGAATATTTTGATGCACCAGGTTTAATATACAATTTATTTTATTTCTGTGTGTTTGAGGTTGGTTTTTTACTGTCATTGTGTTGCAAGAGTATCTCTCCGTTGTCTTATTAATTAATTTAAATAATCAGAAGTTGAATTATTTTCAACAGAATGATTATTGTCAGTAAACTGACCTATGTCAACGGACTGTTCAATAGAAGCAGCCGGTCTGGTAGCCAATGATTTGGCTGAATTATTAATATAATATGAGAGCAACTCTGCTATCTGTCCCCTAAAATAACTAGTAAGATAATACCTATCTTTAGTCAAATAAAAATTATTACTAATAAAATTATTAGTATCCATAAAATGAAATTTACTATAATGAAATGTCAAGCTGTGTAATGTTCTATTTAAGTTATGCCTCAAATTATTTTCAATTGTTGTGAGGCTATTGCTGAAGGGAAAAGCTAACAAAATAATTTCTTTTATATTAATTAAATTATTTAATTGTGAAAAATATTGTATTAAATATTTTTTGTTACATTTTCCTTTTCTGCCATTTAAAATTATTAATGAAGTGTGCTAAATTTGACTTTAATGAAATCAATGAAAATGTACGAATACAAGATACGTTCCAATTTTGTTATCAAATTACAAACTCACCTTATTAATTTCAATGATAATGACTAGGCATGTTGTAAATGCAAATTGTAAAGTATGATTGAACAGTTGCCGGTATTGCAAAATAACGTAATAAGTATAATCAACAATAAAATTAATAAAAAAATATAATTATTGAACACAATCGGTTAATAGTGCTGGAACGCTCCCAGGACAGTATATCTATTTCTTTCATAAGATTTAGTATGCAGTTCCATCTCGCTCTTGTTAGATGTCAGCTAGCCAGCCAGAGACAATAATTAACGTTTAAAAGTAAAACTCATCATCCTGTCATGCCATTCCCGTTCAACTTTGCGTAGACCACGATACGAATTTAAGCAATTCAGTTTTACCATGTCAAGTGAATTGCATGGAACTTGGCTGGCTGCTTATAAGCTCATAGTAGGCCCCCTGACCTGCAACGAAGTCTCGAAGGCGTGCAGCCGCTCGTAGCGCACGGTGAATTCGCGGAAGGCCAGCTCCACCAGGCTGCGCTCGCCGCCGCCCAGGTCCGCGCGCAGCTCCACCGTGAACGTGGCCAGCTCGAACAGCACTGCACAAGTCATCTCACAATTATGTCATCTACGCGACGGGCACACGCCGCCCATTTCCGGCGGCAGCCTCACGGCTGGCGCACATTTTACGCGGTACCTTTGAGCGGAGTCCGTAGCGCGGCGAGCGCGGGCGAGGCTGGGTCGGGCTGCGGCGGCGGGACGGCCAGCACGGCGGCGCGCAGCTGGGGGTCCAACTGCAGCGTCGGCACCGCTGGATCCACGACCACGCTCGTCTGCCCGAGCACACACGCATGTTTAGGTCGCTACCTCAGCCTCTAAAATCGTCCTAGTCCCGACCGGTCCTTGGAAATGGACAGTTGCAGCGTCGGCGACGAGGCCCGCCGAGGAAACCTTACCTCGGTGGCGGCCGCCGGCACGGGCGGTGCACGCGCGTCCCCGCCGGCGCCGTCGCTGCCCGTGCTGACCCAACGCAGCGTCTGCAGCAGCTGCTCGTACTGCTCCCGTCGCGCCGACACGTGCAGCCCGCCCACGATGTGGCCGCTCACCTCGCACTGTTCGCGATCAAAAAAGCGGCAGTTGACAAGTCGCCACGTTCTCGGTCGGCCGTTGGCAGACGCGCGACTGCGGGAAAATACGCAGCTAACTGACCGTCGGGTCGCGGGTCTCGGAGTCGGTGTAGTTGACGTGCAACTGCAGCGCCGTGTCGTGCAGCACGGGCTTGCCGCGCGTCGCGTCGTAGACGGCCGGCATGTCCTCCGCCGACGGCGCGTGCGCCGCGAGCGTCTCGCCCACGTCCACCTGCCGGATGCGTTCGTGTCAGAACGGCGCGCGTCACGAATATTAGAACCGCGAAGGCGAGTGTACTGACGGAGGCGAGCGAGATGTCCCTGAGGCGGATGCGGTAGAGCGTGTTGTGCGGCGGGCCCGGCCGATTGCTGAGGCTCATGCGGCCCAGGTGCGCCACGAACACCTGCGTGCTGTGAGCGGCGCAAGGCACCACCACCACCGGAGACTCCAGCTCGATCTGCACGCTGGCATGTCCACAAACAACTCGTATAACATTGCTGATCGTCTCAAGTCTAAAAACAGTCGCACGAACGCCATTACGTGGCATATAACACGAGGACGAGAACGGTACGTTTCACCATCGATTCGCCGCAAGAAATGCGCCGACAAGATAGTATTACGCGCCGGAGACAACAGCGAGGCGCTTCATCAGAAGCTTATGGAGCGGTCGCGTCGAGAGACGACGAAAGCAAAGGAGAAGAAACCTGAGCACGATGTTGTCCGCGTTGAGGTCGGGCGGCTCGTCGAGCGAGCAGCCGGCGCTGGTCGTCCGGCGCCGAGGGGACACGCCCTCCGTCGACTGCGACAGCTTCGGGTTCGCGTACAGCGAGTCGCCCCTGCGCACACACGGTACAGGTGCATCGAATGCGACGTATGACGACGCGGAACGGACCCTACACCTTTACCCGAAAGCGGCCGCTGCAGGTTACCTGGGATGCACGAGTCCGATGGCCATGTCCGCAGCGGCGGCGCGGATGGAGCGCGCCAGGTTGGCCAGGTACTGCTTGAACTCGCTGAGGCAGGACTGCAGCTCGCGCAGCAGCCCGCCCGAGTGCGTGTACCACACGCTGGCCACGCGCATCGACACCTTCACTTCCACCACTGAGCGGCGGGAGCGCACGTTATGCGAGGCCAGAACATTGAAGGTCAGTAACAGTGCAGTACTCTCGAGCAACAAAGCGAATTAGGCACGACTCCACGTTACCCGGCGCGTCGGCGTCGTCCAGCGCGTCGACGCTCCTGCTGATGGTGAAGAGCAGCGCCTTGTCGTCGTCGTGCGGCAGCGCGTGCGCGTGCGCGTGCGCGTGCGCGGCGCGGCCGGCGGACACGATGCGCGTGTGCACGCCCTTGCCCTCGCACAGCGACACCACCTGCACGCCGCCCAGCGACCCGCCCGCCCGCACGCGCGACCCGTCTGCGCGCACAAACCCGTCAATCCCGTCGCGCGGCCGACGCGCGGCCGCGCTCGGCGACGACGCTTACCGACGGTGGCCTGAATTTTGGCTTCGCTGAGCGTGGCGGTGGCTATTTTCTTGGCGACGACGTTTCCTTCGTGCACGGCGGCGCGTAGAAGGAGCACGCCCAGCCGATGGAAATCGAACGTGATCTCGGTGCGAGTCTCTTTCTGCAACGTTCGCATTAGGTATCGTGGGCTCAATTAGCGTTACAAGGAGGCGTCGAGTTACGGAAATACTATCTATATAATCGTGTCCGTCATTCCGTCGTCAGTCGTCGTCGATGGACAATTTCTTTATATAACTTATAAAATTAAAATTATTTATTAGTCTTGTAAAAAGGCTAGATTGCAATAAATTGCAAATGCAAAACAGACACAAGAAGAAAGATACGGACTAAAAAGAAACAAAATCACTTGTACAATGAACGCTCAAGTTGTTGCGCTACCTTGGCCTCGTCCTCGCCGGGCGCGACCGAGAGCAGGCTGGTGCTGGCGATGCGCGCGGCCAGCGGAGAATCGGCCGCTTGCTTCGGCGCCGATTTGCTGCCCAGCACGCGCTGCGTGAACCCGATCAACTCCACGATCGTCTCTTGGTTCGCTGCGTGGAGACAAGGAGAGATCATTTTCTCGCCGCCACTGGCGAGGACCGAGCGTTGCGCTCGACAGCTCCAAAAGCACCGGTTAAAAATTGTACGAGTATTCGAGAAATCGCTTCTTTTCGACATGGACAAAAAGTGGAAGTCCGGGCTCGGCCGAGATCGTCGCGCTCACCGATGATGTCCAGATTGTTGAACAGGATGTTGGCGATCCTCAGGTCCTCGGAGCCGGCGTCGCCCTTGACGAGGCAGAGGTCGACGGCGATGAGGGCCTCGGCGTCGACGAGCCCCGCGGCGTACCAGCCCGCCGCCGCCGGCGCGCCCCAGGCGGGCGCCGAAGTCGGCCGGGCGCGGTCGGCCCCGGGCCCGTCTGTGCAGTTTGTGTGTACATTGCGCTGTCCGGCGAGGCACCGGACGGCGCGGGCGACGCAGCGGGAGCACCTCGGCTGGCCGCCTCGCCTCGGTGCAGCGAGTACAGCGCCTGGTGCAGCACGTGCGGGGGCGCCGGCGCGACGGCCGCGCCCGACGGCGACGCGGGCGACGTGGGCGACGTAGGCGACGTGGGCGACGTGGGCTCCGAGCCGCGGATGCTGCCCGACGCCGTGTCCATCCTGACGACATCGCGACGCCAATTGTAATCTCGCCCGTCTCGCTGACCGCCGACCGCCGACCGCCGTCCGCCGCCGACTGCGCTCACCCGACGTGCTTGTGGCTGGCGACGAGCAGCTCGAAGTCGGGCCCGTAGGTCTGCAGCGCGTCCACGAGCAGCAGCGAGTGCACGCTGAGCGACAGCGACAGGTCGTACGGCCTCGCCGTCAGCGCGGCTTTCACGCCGCACACCTGCACCTCCGCGATGCTGCGCCCGCGCGACTGCACCTGTGGCGTCGGGTCATAGTGACGTTATATTTTGTTCTGACATTAATAAGTTCGTAAGGAATTTCAAAATTTTTGAGGATAATTTACTTTTACCCCTAAGGTATCTAAGACATATAGCTAGTTTGCTATTTTTTAATATTAAGGACGCTGTTATAGAAGATATAACACAGTCCCACGACAATGCTCCTACTTTAAGTAGCAACAGTATACTTTTTACTAACCATAATTTAAACTGAAAAACACGACAACAGAAAAGTCTAATCGTTTCCATGTAGTACATCAAAATATTCAAGGCTTTTCTGGCAAAACATTAGAAATAAGTCTTTTTTTGCACGATATTTCCATTGACGTGTTTTGTGTTACAGAACACTGGCTGAAAGATTACGAAGCCATTAACTATATATAAAATTATGTAATAGTCAGTTCGTTCATAAGAAAGAGCTTAAGTAGAGGCGGATCCATGATTATTATTAAGCGTAACTTAAAATTTAAAGAGCGTAAGGATATCACAAATCTTTCTACTGAACGAACTATTGAGATTTCATGTGTGGAATTGGATCAGTTTGTCGTCTTATGTGTATACAAAGAATATATTACAGAATTAATTATGGAAGACAGTTAAAACGGATTTTTCCAACCAAAAAAAACGTAGTAATATGTGGAGATTTCAATGTAAACCTGTTGGAAAACTTAACTAACTTAACTTGATTAATCTTTTTTTAGAACCAACTCGCATTACTGCCACCTCTTTTACTTGTATTGATAACATCTTTTGTAACACAGACGCAGTGTCTAAATCAATAATTAATTGCTTAAGATCCGACCATAGTGGCCAATTGGCTTCTTTTAATTGTAAAATGAGCAAGAAGGTAGACCAATTTCTCTGCAGACCGATTACCACAGAACGAATAATTCGATTTCAAAATAATATCGGCAATAGTTTAAATTCCCTATCCCATATACCGGAGGATCCAAATACTTTATATAACACGATATTTGGTTTAATTAAAAATGAATTTGACAATATATTTAAATCGAAAACATTAACTTTCTATAGAGAGACTAAATTCAACGACTGGGCAACAGTAGGTATTCATAAGAGTAGGTCTCGTTTGTATGAGCTATATGCTATGAAAACTTATAATAATAATTCCAATTTCATAGAATATGTTAGAATTTATTCGAAAATATTTTAAAAATGCTTGTGCTTTTTAGCTGCTAAGGTTAAGTTTCACAGCGACAAAATTAGACAATCGATAAATAAATCTAAAACTACTTGGAGCATAATAAATAAAGAGTCAGGCAGGGTTAAACTACACGATAGAGATATAGTTTTAGAATTAGACAGCAAACTTATAAAATCTAAAGATAAAGTAGCCCAAGCTTTTGAATCGTTCTTTTCGGAAATTGCTGTGAACACTACAAAATCATTAAATTCCTCCCCTTCACTTGCTATTGATCTCTTAAAGGAAAATGTTAACGTTTGTGGCAGTTTATTTCATTTTCGTCATATTAATCCACAAGACATCATAAAAGCTTTTAAATCAATACATGTTAAAAAAACTGAAGACCTCTGGGGCATATCAACTAAAGTTATAGACTCAGTTATTAATCTCATTTCCCCACAGTTAGCTGTAGCTTTCAATAGGTGCGTTGACGAAGGTGTTTTTCCCGATTTAATGAAATACAGCAAGGTTATTCCCTTATTCAAAAGCGGTAGGAAAGTTGATCCTAGCAACTATAGGCCCATTTCAATTTTACCAGCTTTAAGTAAAATATTCGAAAAGGTTATGCTAACTCAATTACTGTCCTTTTTCGGTAGGAATCATATTTTTCATAGTGAACAATACGGGTTTACTAGTGGTAGATCGACTAGCGATGCGGGGGTAGCGTTACTAAAACACATCTTTGATGCTTGGGAAAGGTCCCAGAACGCTATTGGTGTTTTCTGTGACCTCTCAAAGGCATTTGATTGCGTTGATCATAATACTCTTATTAGGAAGCTGGAACATTACGGTGTAAATGGCAAGGCGTCGAAACTTGTCTCGTCATGTCTCAACGGTAGAATTCAGAAAGTAGACATAAATGGAGTAACTTCTTTGGGTTCTCCAGTAAAAATGGGTGTTCCGCAGGGCTCAATACTTGGACCTATCTTATTTCTGATTTATATTAATGATCTGCCATTCTTTGTTAAGGACAATTGCGAAATAGTGTTGTTTGCTGATGACACATCCTTGATTTTTAAAACAGACAGACATGACATTAACTATGACCGTATTAATGATACCCTCTCTAAGGTACTTTATTGGTTTAATGCTAATAATTTATTGCTTAATGCCAAAAAGACAAAATGTGTTAAATTTGAATTACCTAACGTAAAATAGACTAGTCCAAGCATAGAAATAAACGGAGAAAATTGGACCTTGTTAATAAAGCAGTCTTCTTGGGAGTGACCTTAGATAGTAAACTTCAGTGGTTTCCACATATATCGTCCCTGGCCAGCAGATTAAGCTCCGCTGCATACGCGGTCCGCAGAATACGTGAGCTTACCGATGTTAGTACTGCTAGACTAGTTTACTTTAGTTACTTCCATAGTATAATGTCCTACGGGATTCTCATGTGGGGTAAAGCGGCAGATATTCAAACCATATTTGTATTGCAAAAACGAGCGATTCGTTCTGTGTACCGTCTAGGCTCTCGGGTATCTCTCAGAGAAAAGTTTAAGGAGACTGGTATCATGACTTTGTATTGTACATAAATGTACTGTGATGCCACCATCACAGTACATTTACTCAAATATTTTATATGCCCGTAAAAATATACATAATTTCAATAAAAAAGAAGATATCCATAATATTAACCTTAGAGCTAAGTCCAAACTCATGGTACCACGATTTCGTTTAACCAAGGTAAACAACTCTTTTATGGGGAACTGTATACGTTTTTACAATAAGATTCCGGAGCATATATTAAGTTTATCATTTCCTAAGTTTAAAAACTACATTAAAAATATGTTGATCGAAAAATCATATTACAAAATTGAAGACTACGTGTTAGATAAAGATGTATGGAAAGACGACATGGCTCCAGAATCCACACAAATTTGATTCAAAGTGTATTCCATAGCATTTAAGTTTATTTGAAAAGAGCAATCCCTAGAGTTTCTTGCTCGTTCTTCTCAGGGAGGTCAGCGTAGTGAACGAGCAGTAGCTTAAATGTGACGTTTTCAAGTGTAAATTTATTTTACCTATGGAATAAATAATTTTTGACTTTGACTTTGGGTGTCGCCCGCTCGTGACGCGGTGGCCGCCGAAGGCGCTCGCAGGCCGCGGGGCTCACCTCGAGGGACATCTGCTCGATGGCGAACTGCAGCATGAACAGCGTGGCGTTCTGGTGCGCCGAGTACTCCGACCGTTCCGTCTCCGAGCTGGCGCTGCGCTCGTCCTCCTCCTCCGGCGCCGCCGCCGGCCCCTGGCCGTCCCGCGACCTGCAGCACGCGCCGCCGTGAGTCGCCGCCGCCGCCGCCGCCGGGCGACTGCGAGGGCGGACTCACGCGTCGTCGAAGAGCCCGGCGTTGGCGACGACGCTCCGGGCGGCGAAGAGCTTCTGCTCGCTGAGGTGCACGACCAGCGCCGGCAGGGAGCCGCACAGCGTGGCCGTCGGGTACTGCGGGTCGCTGGTGTGCACCACGCGGCGCTCCGCCTGCGAACGCGACAGGGCACTCAGCCGCTTCCCGGGACGCGCCCGCGCCTCCGCCCGGCCGGCGCCGTCACCTGCAGCAGGATGCTGAATCTGTCCAGCAAGTGCAGCGACGACGTGCTCTTGGTGTGCGCGTACTTCCAGTTGTCTCGCGCGCGGCCCACCAGGATCTGCAGGTCGCTCAGCTCTATCTTGTATCTGCAACGAAGGCTTTTATTTATCGCACGCGCGGTAAAGGTGAGACGTATTCCTACAACGTACATGCATACACTTCGCGCTTTTTTCCTACAATAAATAAATAAATAACATACACACTCAACATAGCCCCGCACTAGGGAAACCCTGTGCCGCGGGTGCCATGGACACATACATAGACAACCACAAATTACACCCAAACTCACGAGAGAAATAATTGTAGGCCTTACAAACATTTCTCCCGGCCCGGGAATCGAACCTGGGACCTCTAGGTGGCAGTCCGACATAGTAACCGTTCGGCCACTGAGGCAGTTACAATACTTTGCATACAATTGGAGCGCAATGCCAAACGAGTCTCGCTCTTGCAAAACGTAATAATCTTTCATTGATGTTTATGCCTTAGAATAATAACGCATAGAATGATAGTTTCATATCAAACGAACTGTCACAAGTGAGGCAAAAACCAAATTCGCCTACATGAATAAGCATAATATAAAGTAATAAATAATAATAATAAGTAAGCAACTTGTATCTACGCTCGCCGGCACGCAACAAATATACAAATAATGACGCCATGGAATAACATTTCCCTCAAAAGTGGGGAAATTGTATCTTGCTTAACTCATCATTAAGTTAAAGGTGCCTACAGATTTGCCCGACATTGTCGATCAGGTGCCTACAGGTATGCTCGGTTTTGTCGATCGTTACTGTCGATCGACAATGACAATGAAATGAAATGAAATGAAAGAATTTATTTCAGACTACATGTCCATATAATGTTAGTAGGAACTTAAATAACTATGTTAGTAGAATGCAAAATTTTCATTTTCGTTTACATGAATGGACATCCAATGTTTAAGGATTGGGCTGTCCATCCTCTCTGCTATCACTCTAAGAAGACTGTTGGTACTGCCCCTCACTCTGGCCAGCAGGGAAGCCACTCTTTTCCGAAAGATGTCCTGGAAACCGTCGATTCTAGCCTCCGTGAACATCCCAGAGGCACTACAGTATCGAGGCAACCCCATCAGTCCCCTTAGGGTATTGTTGAATTGGACTCGCAGGGTACTGTAGGCTTTTTTGGTGTAATTGCTCCACAGGTTGCACGTGTATAGTGTCTGGCAAAAAGTTTTAAAGAGGGTGATTTTCACCTCATGAGAGCATCGTGCAAACCTACGGGCCAGCATGTTACACCGTACCGCCAGTGCCCTGCGTTCCCTCTCCAAGTCAACGTCATCCGATAAATTTTCCGTGACCCAGTGACCCAGATACTTGAACTTGGTCACTTTTTCCAGTTCAGTTCCGTTTACAGTGACTGGTGGCGTCGAATAGGTTTTGGAACCTGATTTGAACACCAACAGCTCACTCTTTTTAACATTGTATCTGAGCCCATGGGCCTCGGCATACCTTTCACATACATTGAGAAGTACTTTAAGAGCGCTGATTGAGGGGCTCAACAGCACCATATCGTCTGCATAACTTATGTTATTAACAAAACAACCATCTACTGAACAGCCGACACCAGTGCTACCGAGCTCCTCCATCAGCCCATTTATGTACAAGTTGAATAGGTTCGGAGAAGTCAGCCCCCCCTGTCTTACTCCACATTTCATCTGGTATTCCTCTGAGGGCTTCCCAGCCCACCTAACAAAATTTACTTGATTTTCATACCAATATCTAAACAAATCTGTCAATTCTTTAGGTATACTCGTATTATACATTTTATTCCATAGGACGCTATAGGATACCATGTCAAA